GAGAGAGAGAGGGAGAGATTGCAAAGTATACCATGCAGATGGGACTCCACGCTACCATTTGGTACAAGTTCATAAACGAGGCAACGGTTATGCTCCTCTGTGCATATACCAATCAACTTGACCAAGTTCCGGTGGTGCAAACGGCTAAGCATCTCAACTTCCGCCAAGAATTCACGCCCACCTTGCTGGTCATCTCGTGTAAGAACCTTCACAGCCACCTTTGTTCCATCTTCTAAGACCCCACTATACACACGGCCAAAGCCACCTTCACCCAGTATTCTTGCAGGATCAAAGCGATTTGTAGCTCTCTCCATCTCACCTAAACTGAATGTTTTAGCCGATCCTGCATATGTTGCAATACTTGAACCAAAAGACAATGATGCCGAACTAAGCCCACTGCCTGATAATGCGGATCCAACACCTACTATGATATTCCAACATGAACACAAAGAAATCATTTCAAAATACCTAAGGAGTTCTTAAGAAGAATTACACCATATATAACTTTTATTACCCATTTGTTTCACAATCGGTACCACTGGCGTCCTTGGGGCTGCTGCAGGCTGTTGGTGTCTACCACCTCCTTTTCTCAAAAGCATAAACCAAAGAGCTCCAAGACATATAACCAGACCTATAGCTGATGAAAGGGCTATAATAGCAATGAAGGTGCCTCCAAGCTTATGTCTCCGGTGCCTCACATCAACACCAATGGGATTTACTTTTCTCGAACTAATGTTAGAAGATGCATAGGGCCCATCATCTAATGTCACATTAATGGAAGCAGATGGTGGAGACGGAGGAAGCCCTGAAAATATTTCCAAGACAAACATGCTTGAAACCATCTTGTATCTTTACAATATTCAGGTTATCAGATTTTGAATCAAAACTAACTTCTTGTTCCCAAAAGTCTGGCTAAATTACAATTATTACCACATGGCAGTGCATACACATCCCCCCACATAAACACACACTGACAACTGTTCCCAGTGGTCATCTTTGTTGACTTCAAGGTACGACATTGCAGCCTCATATTAAATTCTGTTTTAATCATTATCAGAAGCCAACTTTGGTTCATTTTTTAATACAAGCCATCAACTAAAGAAACTATAAACCATACCTGGATACCGGACATAAAGTACATCATAATCACCAAAGAGTGCAACGTTGATGACCACTTGCTTGTGCCAGAATTTTTCAAAGGTCAAGAATGCTGTTGTGTTGTCAAACTTTTGTCCAAGTGGGACCAGATCGATAAGTACAATGGTCTTCTCTTGTTGCTCAGTGTCAGCATTTGCTCCCATGATTCTGACCTGGCTTTGTTTCATCAAGATTCCAGCTGCTACTTCTTGAGCTAGCTCTGAGACCAATGGGAAGAATGCATAAAGTGCAACACCAAGGCGAAGCCCAACTTGCATGGGAAATACACAGCCACAAGGTGAACCTGGAGGTGTATTAGTGTATGGCTCGGTGCAAGTCAGCCCTGTGCAATCTTTAAACCGAAAGGAACAAAACAAAAAATTAATCATCCATTCATCTAGTCACACAAAATTTGCCACATTTAGTGTCAAGTAAAATCTGACAATAGAATCAAAGTTACCAAAATTGTGAATACAGAAGTATGCAGACAGGCATATGCACTGGCATCCAAGCACACATGCGCATGCACATACACTAAATTGTACATATATAGATTGGACTACATTAATCGTACCAATATTAGGAGGCGGAGGTGGAAGTAATCGAACTGGTGATGGTACAGGGGATCTTGACTTCTTTGGAGAAGGTGCGATAGATGAAATACTTGGAGGATGAACAAGCCCTTGTACATGGAAAAACACCTTAACAAGGTTACTTTCCTTTTGCTATTTGCCATTCATAAGGTCCTTTAACACACATAAAATAAATAGATCTAAAAAGAGAAGGACTAACAAAATAACATAAGAGAGGAAAGAGAGATACAGAGAGAGAGAGAGAGAGAGAGAGAGAGAGAGAGGGAGGGGAGGGGAGGTAGTAGT